CCACCAAATCACAGTTACCTAGTTTTTTTCTCTGGAAGTTCTATAGTTGAACATTTTACAGTTGGATTTGTGATCCATTTTGAAGTAATGTTAGGAACATGTTTTAATTCTATCTAGATTGAGTTTTTGAATGTAGATGTCCAATTGTTCCGATACTATTTGTTGAAAAGACTGAACTTTCATTATATTGCCTTTGTTTGCTCTTTTGTGAGAGGTCAGTTGGCTATATTTAAGTGAATTATTTATGAGCCTTTATTCCATAGAACTATCTGTCTCTGGCTATAATTTAATGTAATTTAGGGATGTATGTTTAAATGCAGCCCATGGTCTGTTGGTCTTTCTAGTCAATGTATTCAGGTATTCTGGCTTAAAAATCTGACTGACTAGTTTTCCTTGTACTTTTGCCGCATTATGAATAGCCATAACTTGTTTATTGACTTGGAGTTTTCCTATAAGCATTGGATGCCATTGATAAATTTTACATAGAGAAATAAATCATACTTTCATTTTTGGTGATTGTTTCTTACTCTAGGCTGAAAAAAAAACACTAGACAGAAGCTAGAATACTGTTGGTAAGGGTCAATCAACTTAGTGTATGAAGGAGATATAATCCTTGGCTGTTGAATGATTTATACGATTTGTAAATTTTGCTTTCACCAGATGGCAAGTCTTTTTGTAAGAGTGGGTCTTAAGGGAGAATAGTTTCTACCAGAAGACTATTATGCAATGTGGGGAATGGAGGTAGTGTAGGCAGTCACGTAGTAAGATGTCCTGGAGGTCCTTTGAAGCAACCTGTTTCAGCCTTTACCACTCATTCATTGCCAGAGTAACTCAGATTCCCAGAGTGATGGGAATCTGCTGTTAGTGCAAGTGGGGAAGACATTGAAGTAGAGACCTTTTTTCCTAACATGAAAATTTTAACAAAGGGAAGTAAACAGCCACAGAAATGAAACAGAATTTCCTTGCAAGTTAGTTCTTGCTTGTTGGAGAGAAATTTTCTAACTGCCCAAACAGGTTTTGCTGATAAGTACATTTTAACATGTTTGTATTCCCTGGCCAGGTGTTTTTTTCAGTCAGAGTTCAGATTTAGGTGCTGTATGGAAGAAAATTGCTTAAATTAATAACAAAAGCATCAGTTCATGATATTTGAGAAAGCTTTCAGCCTGTTTGAGACTTTGTTTTTATAAACAAAGTTAAAACTAAGTCAGATTACTGTTGGATATTTCCCTTTTAGGTTTAAATTTCTTTGTTTTTAAAACAGATTTTAAAAAAAGGGGGTTAATCTTGAGACCACAGGTATGTACAGGTCTAGGTATGGGATCTATTTGGCTGCTTTCTTTGTAAGGTGTTATAAATGCTGCCTGAATGTAATCTGACACCAGGTAGGCCCAAGTGGCCAATGTGGAAAGTGAAGAACTATGTGAAAGAACTGGAATTTCAGGTCTGGGGAGTAATTGTGGCTTGCCCTTAGTTGGGAACAGTTCCTAAGTGTCAGCAAAAGGGAAAAGGATGGAGTACTCAATCTGTTTGGCATGGAGCACTCAGCCTGATTCATATTCTCCTTCTTCCTCTCCCCCTTTCTTTTTCCTTGAGTCTCTCTTTTATATGCTTGGAGTTAAAGTGAGCTTGATCAAGATTGTGAAGATCTGTCTCATCTTTGTATAAACCACCAGAGATCTGAGACTTTGTAAATAAAATACAAAAACTCAATTTGTACTTCATTTACATGAAAGTAGAATTATACTATATTTAACAAAGTTAAACGTAGTTATGAATTGTTTAGTGTGCTAAAGATCCTCTCATTTCATCACAAGTACTGCAGAAAACAAAATTCAAAACAAAACAAAACAAAAAATAAATCAAGCTAGGTATCTCACTCACCTCTGCATCGCATTCTCCTGTTAAAGAATGCCTAATTGTTTCTCCCAGTCAGAGAATACTTGGCTGAACATGGTGGTACATGCCTGTAATCCCAGTACTGGAGGCTGAGGCAGGAGGGTAGCCATGAGCTCAAGGCTAGCCTGGACTGCATAGTGAGTGCCAGGCCAACCGGAGCGATGTGGTGAGACCTTGGCTCAATCAACACCGAACCAAACCAAAAGTTACTTAAAAGACAATTGGGAAGCTGGGGATATGGCTTAGTAGTAGAGTGCTTGTCTAGTGATAGAACTGTGGGAGACCGGCGGCGGCTGAAAAGATAAGGAAGTATGAAATATAAATTACCTTTATTTTGAGAATGCGGGGAGAGACACCCCGATCTCCTGGGGTGTGGCATCTCCACCCCGGGGTCAGCGATCTCTCCTTGGAACACGTGGAGTGGGGGCCTATATGTAGCTTAGGTTAGGGGTGGTGCCTGAGAGGGCATTAGGGACGCACAGGTAGCCCATTGGCACTCATTTGGCGCCAGGGGCAAATTCCTAAGGGTGGGGGGAGATAGAGTCACAGGTAAATCTCTAGGGGTGGGGGAGAGAGGAGCTCCAAAACTCACCTAGCACCAGGCTCTATTTTGTCATTAGACTCACAAAAATAAGTAAGTAAATAACACCTAGAATGGTTTTAAAGTGCTGCTGGGGATCAAATCCAGAGAGCCTTGTGCATTGTAGGCAAGTGCTCCACCACTAAGCTAAATCCCCAACCCCTAGAGACATATTTTAAAACTTTTTCTAAACCTTTTTTCAATTCTTCAAATATTTGGGGGAAAAAAGGAACAATTTGGTCACTTTGTGACATTAACCTGCCCCCTCCCTTGTGTATAACATTATGCACAAAGAGGTTTACCATGAGATGTACTTTAAAGTAAACTGTTCTTTGCTCTGCTCTTACTCAGCAGGATATGGGGACTATTATTGTCCTTGTTTGAGAAAGTTCAAATCTGATTACTTGACTAGCTACAATGTGGTGTGTTTCATAATTGTTTTCTCCATATCCACATCTTTTATGTAAATTATACTACATTTAAAGAACTAGAAAGAAAAGTGTCAGCAAAAATATTTCAAAGTATTTTAATGAGTTTATGAGTTATGGTAGTCTTATTTTCATTTTTTGGGCTGAGTGAATGTATAAAGTAAGATGGTATGATATGGTAGAATTGGAAATAAGCAGAAGTAAAACTAAGACTTAAAGATATAATGGAAGGCCAAGCAAGGCAGGGCCCGTGATTCCAGCATTTGGGAGACTGAGGCAGAAGCATTGCTGCTAGTTTGTAGACCACTAGGACTACAAAGTCAGTTCAAGGCCAGCCTGAAATAAGTAGTGAAACCTTGTCTCACACAGACATAATAATGATAATGGAGAAATCTACAAACCCCTCTCCTACAGTTGTTCCACATAAAAACATGGTTGAAATTGATCTGTTCCATCTTCTGGAAATCATGGAAATCACAGCTGTCCTTCAAGTATCTTATCCCTTTTGTATAATTAGTACATCAGGAAGGAAAAAAAAAGTCCTAGCTGCTCACAAAGAAGCAAACACAGAAGATTCTTCTGTGAGTGGCTGCTTATATGAATCAAAGGGCAATATAAAACCATGGGAGCAGGGAAGAAAATAATCTATTGTAAGTATCAAATGGTTACATAAAAGCATTGTGGAGGATGATGGTAAGGTATTTTTGTTATGGATACATAGGTACGCGACTTCTCTTTGGCTTTCAATTAGTACATAATAGGGATTGAACCCAGGGCCTTCCTTATTCATGCAGGACAAGGACTCTTATTACTGTTACGTTTCCAGTTCTTTAATTTTTTTTATTATATAAAGGATTTCTTAATCTTCCAGATATTCTTCTACAGAAAAATATTAATGAAGTTCTGTTACTGTATCTAGGAGCTACTAGATATACTAGTTAGATTTAGATTTTTAGGAAAGTTAGTTTTTATGTCAGCTTTATCCCCAGACATGTCCCTTTAACATTATTAAAAAAGGAGTACCCAGCCTTTGTTTGAAATCAGCTTTCTTTTTGAAATATTTGTACTAAAATTGTAAATGCTATTTTAAAGAACTAGGCATTATTTCATGATTGTTTTTGTATCATTTTTTGTCGTATTTATGTTTATTATCATTTCATACAATTTTTAATAAAATCACTCACTAATTTAGTTTTACTCAAACTGAGTTCTAGCCAGTGGCTTCCCATTCACACCCAATCCTCAATTAATCTTTTACATTCACTTTTGTTAGTAGTGGTAACTTTTTATTTTTCATTTTTTAAATATAGAACTATTTTTGGCAGACATTTTAAAAGCATTTCTCCCTCTGCTGTGAATTTGTTTCTGCTCTTAAGTTGCGTTTCTGTTTTTCTACTATTGTAAAATGCAGTTCTTTGCATGTTCTAATTTGCCATGACGTGGTCAAGTGCTGTTTCCTTCCTGTTGGCTTGTAAGCCTGTTCCAGAGATAAGGGTACATTTCAGTGTATTAAAAAAGAAGTCATTGAAGACAGGCTTAAGCATGGTAACTCTTAAAAGCATTCTACTTATCAGAAACCTTTTTCTATAACAGAAAAAGTAGACTTTAATTTCTGCTTATTTTTAAAAGCTTTTATGATAGTCTGTATGAAATTTTAAGTTCATTAGATTTTAAATTATTACATTTATTCGATCTAACAAGGATGCTATCTGAATACTTCTATTAAGGACAAAAATATATATTAAATTGAGATTACTTGTAGACTGATAAATTCTTAGATGATTTAATGGATTAATGGAAGGCAGAGAATTACATGTTCATTATTGCAGTTGTAAACTCCATTATTAATGCTGTATTTTTTGTTTTTTAACTGAGGGAATGAGAAATATTTTCAATAGGGACAGTGCTTTTAGCAGGAATGAAATCTTTAAGGAAATATATATATCTAAAAATGTGTCTAAAAATCTGTATTCATGTTATGTTGATTTTATTTAGAAACTGCAACATAAAATTATTGGAAATACTGCGCACTATATCAGTTATGTTTTAAATGGACAATTGTTTCTTCACAATGAATTTAATGTTTTGTCTTTCAGGTCAAGAAGATTAAGAGAAGAAAAAGTTTAGGAAAATTGCCTGTTTGTTTTAGACTATTAGTGAATCAAGAAAGTTTGAAGCATCTTCTTTAAAGAACATCTTGGGTATACAGTAGTTTCACAGACTTGGCTGAGAGGTTCTACCCAAATTTGTCAGTGGACCCTACTGCTGTACTCGAATTTGTTTGGAATTTTTTCTCATGTGGATCTAAGGGGAATGCTTTATTATGGCTGCTGTTGTCCAACAGAACGACCTAGTATTTGAATTTGCTAGTAACGTCATGGAGGATGAACAACAGGTATGAGACTTAGAGAAAAATTGAATTTTAATAAAGTTGCTGTTTTTTTTCATTTGAAATAGAAAATTACTTTAAAAGACAAATGTAAATATTTGGAGGTAATATGCTGTTATGTTTTAAGTGCCAGTTAATTCATAAAATATAAACTTTACCCTTAGCTTTGATGTGGTAATAAGGAAGTAATACTTTGGGAGTTTAGCTTGGTTTTCCTTTTTTTTTTTAAGTAAATTTAACAGTAAATGTCTATTTATTTCAAAGTACTTTTGGAATATTCTAGAAAACGTAATAAATTTTAATTATATAATTAACATTTATAATTGTGTGCAGTTTCTTCAGGCAGGTGAAGTGGTATTAACAGTCCCATGACATACATCACTTCAGTCCAAAGCATAGAACTAACCTCCTCTAAGAGCTAGGAGTTTTTGAGATTTTATTTTTTTAATTTATTTTTTATTTTTTTGAGACTTTATAATTTATTTCATTTTAAATAGGTTATGTGGGGAATGTAAGATATGATGTGGGAGAAATGGTATGTTGGAGAGCTAGTCTGTTTACTAGGAAAAATATTTTGAGAACCAGTAGGTTTAAAATTTGCCTAATAAAGTTGATTTATATGTTGAAATAGAACTAATCCTAAGGTCTTAATAGGCCAATTTTAATGTTATGCTTTTATTATAAAAACATATAGTTAATGCAGATAATAAAATGATTCTGAGCTTTTTCAGGACATTATTATTTCTTGTTTGTAGTGTTCTTTGAAATGACAATAAATAAACCTACAACAAATGAGCATTTAGATTAAATTGCTCTAAAATCAAGATGAGCTTCAACTAGGAAGGAAATTTTCTAAGGGAGACGATTGGATGGTCGAGACTGAAAAATATAGCAATGATGAATTTAATCCAGAAATAATAAAAAAGGTATTTTAGGAGAGGAAAGTGTTTTGAATTTGTTTTTTAAAAGGATGTTATGTATCTGTTAAGGTATGAAAATGAGTATGTACTGTGCTGCCCTCTTAGATGAAAGATCCTGTCATAGGCCCCAAGCTTGATGTGGTGAGGTTTTATCTCGGGGTGTGGTGGCAAAAGACAGAGTTGTAAGCCACTCATTGGTATGGTTGACTTAACTCTTTTGATCATGAGAAGTGCATTTTACATTCTGGTACCATGCTTATACATGGATATACGTAGCTTTAAATTCTGAAACAATACTTACATACTTACTATACACAGTGTTCTTGATTTGTCTTAGAGAGGTTGTATCTTTGGAAAGGGTGCTATAAGTATCAGCAATCAACGCTACATATATATATTTTCTTTTTTTGATGAGATATTGGGAACTGAATCCAGGGCCTCCTACATGCTGAACATCCTGTCACTGAAACACACCTCCAGCCCTGCATTTTCTTCAATTATTTATTTTAACTGAATAAAATGAACCTATTTTTTTGTATACTATTATAAGGGCTTTATAAATATCAACCATATGAGGTGAATACAATGTCCTCATTTTATCGTGAGGAAATTGAGGCATGAAGAGGTTCAATAACTTCTCTCCAAACCTCATACAGTTAATAAATAATGAAGACACCGTTTGAACATTAGTGGTTTGACTTTCACTAATGATATTATGATGTTGCATAAGACAGTAACCTTACTATCTTATCAGTGTCAGAACATTTGAAACTTGGCCAGACTTACTTTTTACAAAATATGGCCATGAGGAGAGCAAAAATTTAATTGCTTCATAAAAAGGTAGACGTAGTGGTGTCAGACTTACCATTTTTTTATAATCTGTGGTTCTGTCTCCTTGTATTTGCTTATTCAGTTTACTTTTAATATAAAAGTGGTAACTTGCCATTTATAAAGAAGTCACTTAATACATAATATAGTGAAAATCTGTATCCTCAGAAGAAATGGTTGCTTTTTTATATGTGTATAATAATTTTTATTATATCTTTACATAAGGATTACTAGTGATCTATCATAGGGAGTTAGACATGTATACTGTATGTTTTAATGCTTTTTACGTTTGGTATGTATTTTTTAGACAAAAGACTACAAGTAAATTGTATATGTACAAAACCACATAAAGGTAGTTGTAAGGTAGAAATGAAATTATGCTAAACTTCCTGACGACTTGTTTTTATTTCATGTATGATAACTGTGTATGTGTATTTATGTAGGGCTCTGCGTCATTCTATATGATGAATGGTGTGTTACTTTTTTTCCCTTGTCCTTGAATCCTTGACCGTGGCTATTATCAGAATTTTGCTGTTGTATACAGTGTTGCTGCCAACATCCTTATTTGGGTTCATAACAGACCCTCCTAATGGTTAAGAGTTCAGATGTTGAAGTCAAATGCCTGAATTGAATAGTGGCTCCACAGTTTACTACCTCTGTGACCTTGGGCAAACTACTTAACCTGTCTGTGCTTTTGGTTTTCATATTCACAAAATAGGAATACAAATTACTGAACCTAAATTACAGAATTATTCTGAGAATTAAGTGAGTTGCTGCTTATAAAGCTCTTACAACCGTGCTTGGCATATAGCTAATATCTATGGAGCACTTTCATTTTGTCATTAAAAGGCTGATCAAAAAATAATGTGCTTAAATTTTTAAAAAAATTATTACAATAAAAATACATAGCCATTAATCCCCTGCAGAACACTCTCCTGTGCTTTGAATATACTTATGCCATCATTCTTGCCAATTTATGAAGCACTTCTAGAAGTCCTCTGGTTTTTTGTTTTGTTTTTTGTCCTTTTGAGACAAGGTATTGCTATGCAGTTCAGGCTGGCCTTGAGCTCACTGGGTAGCCCAGATTGGTCTCGAACTTGCAACAGTCCTTCTGCCTCAGCCTCCCAAGTGCTGGAATTACAGGCATGTGCCACCATGCCCAGCTCTTTCATGTCTTTATTAGATGTGTTAAAAAAAAAATGTGGTGAATGCTATTGAGTGCCATCCAGAAAAAAACAGGCTCATAGGAACATTAAATTGAGACAGCCATGACAGTGCACCTAATAACACTCATGCCAGAATTCCAGGACTGCTTCAAAGAGTGGCAAGAGTGATGCAGTGTCTTCAAACTGAGAGTGATTATTTTGAGGCGTTAATGGCAATGTCTTTTAATTTAGTACATTTTTAAAATCTAAACATTCACCTATTTTTCAATCATACCTTGTTATGTACAGACTTCAGTTTTGAACTTGATAGTATATTCCATTAACTTTTTATAGTTCTACTATTACATTGTTTTCATTAATATCATTTATAGATTTAATATCTAGTAGGATACTCCTTATTAGGATAGAGTTTTGAATGAATTTTATTAGTTTAAGTTACATAGACTGTTCTGATTTTTAACTTTACAAAGTTAAGAAAGACATTTTTTTTTTTTTTTTTTTTTTTTTTTTTGGTACCCAGGATCGAACTCATAACCTCTCACTTGCCGGGCAGGTGCTTATGCTGCTGAGCTAAATCCCCAGCCCCAAGAAATACTTCTTTTAAAAAGTTTACCCTGTTTTATGATCCCGTATTGGTTAGTTCTTTATAAAACAGCTGAAAACACTATATTAAAATATATTTCCTGTTTTCAGTTATACTGTGTGATTATATATCTACTAGTCTAAAGAAACTGTTGTTTGTCAATGTCTGTTTGCCAGCACTTCGATTACTTTCTCATCCATAAATTTCTACTCTTCAAAATTACTTTGAAACTTTTGGGTGGAGGTGGTAGGTATTGGTATTAGAAAATACCAACACTGTTGGTGTTGACAGTTTAGAAGTCTGTACTTGCTGTCATTTCTAAACTGTAAGTGTTTCTAGCTGACAAAAAAGTACTTATGTCTAGTTTTGAAGTGATTATACTTCAAGGTGCTTTAAACAGATGTGTTTGCGTGATAAATTTATAACAAGAAGAAAGCTGTATCTATAGATACAAGTTTGAAGTTTACCATATATTAAGTGTTTCATTTTAAAAGTAGAATTTCTAGCAAATCATACTATTTATGCTTAATGAGAAGCTTGGTGACATGTCTGGAACAAGTATTTTATAGACTTATCACAAAATGGGAAGAGGTAGTCTAGGCAGTACTAGATATTGATCCCAGAACCTCATAAGTCAGAAGAGGAAGTCTTAGGACTTTCCTGGGTACACATTGGCCTAGTTTAACTGTTGATTCCTAAAGGTTAAAAACCATGGAAGATAATTAGAATTTGAACATACAATTGGTATGAAATGTGGTAGAACATTCCTGAGCAGACAGTAAGAAGGCAGGAAAGCATTTGGAAAGATCATAATAGGCTGGGAAAAAAAAAATTGTAGTACAAGAAATAACACTGTCTTGCTTTCTTTTTAGACGTTGCTTAGTGATTTTTTAAATGTGACATTTGGGAAGTAGTAGTACTCAATGTAATAAGAGAGGTGAAAGCCGTATTGGTGATTCAAAGAATTACAGACTTTGACTGCATTGAGACTTTGGGAAAGCTTCTCTATGAGTGTTACATTTGAATGAGATCTTCACGAAAGACCAGTGTATTCTCTAGATGAAGGAAGGGGAAGTGTTCCAGAGCAGTGAAATGCACCAGAATTTTTTAATGAGTTTCTCTTGACTGCATGATCAATCTAAATACCTAGCATTTACAGTTAAAAGCTGTGACTGACTGTGTCTTGTTCCTGTTTTTTGCACTGCATTTTTTTTTTTTTTTGGCCAGCCTATTATATGATTTTCCCACATACTTTCCTGCCTTTTTACTATCTGCTCAAGAATATTCTACCACATTTCATACCTATTTATTGTATGTTCAAATTCTAATTATCTTTCGTGGTTTTAGAACAAAATCTACTAATCCTAAAAATCATCCATTCAGAAATTAACAACTTTATCCTGTTATTCCTGTATCACTATAATATCATACATTACAGATTTTCCCAGTTAGTACCCTGTTTTCGAAAGAAAACAGGGCTAGTCATTATTTCTCTCTTTTTTTCTACTT